GGGTGTTACTCAGGGGAGTGAGGTGATCTTTTTGGCAATGACATAAATGCATCTTTTTTTGTTTATTTTTTTTTTAAGTAATCTCTACACCCAAGGTGGGGCTCAAAGTCATGACCCTGAGATCAAGAATGCATGCTGTTTAGACTAAGTCAGTCAGGGGTCCCTGCATGAATGCCATTTTTAAAAGATCACTATGACTGCTAAGGGTAGACTACAGAAAGGCAAAAAATGGAAGAAAGGATGTCAGTTACAAGACTTTCTCTGCATTCCAAACAAGAAATGGTGGAGGCCTGGACAAGGGTGAGAGTGGTGGAGAAAGAGTTGACATATTTGGGATATTTTCCAAAGGTAGACCCAACAACAGTTGCTGGGATAGATTGGACTGAGAGAGAAGAGGAGATGGGGGACACAGGAATCACAGATGGCCCATAGATTTTTGGCCTGCATTCATTTACTAGAATGAAAAAAAATATAACTATTCTTAAGACCATGATGAAAAGAGCCTAGAGAACCCAAGTGACACAAGACCCCAACGATTTGTCTGAGATGACACAGCGATTAAGTGGTAGAACTGGCATTCGATCCCAGGTGGCCCATGCCCTACACCTAATATTCTAAATCTATCTGTTCTACATTGGGTGTAAATAGTACTTAAGACAGTGAACAAAGAGAGAGTTCCTTTTTCCCCCTGCATGCTTGCTGCCCTGTCAACCGTTGGCATAAGTTCTGCCTCATCAAGACCCTGGGCCAGTTCTGTCCCCAAACTTACCCCTCTGATGTTACAGCTCTGCTCTGTTCTCTCATTGCCCTTTCTTCCTTGTTGTGAGGACTACAGGATATAAATAGAGTACCTAAAAGAGTTTCTACATCTAAGTTTTCACCACATAGGCTTTTTTTGTTTTCTCTTTTCCCTTCTCTCTCCCTCCTCTGACCCTTGATGAAATTTTTTCATTGAGGAAATTTTTGTCAACTGAAAACAATGAAGATTCTCACCAAAAATTTCAATCACTTACTATTAAATTTCTACACCAGAATAATTTTCGCTACAAATAAAATACAGCATGCAATTCACCCAGGGTTTCAGTATCTAAGCCATTTTTTCCTAAAGGTCTGCCTCTTCTACACTGCCAACCAAAGTTTCAGAATGTTGGCTATCACTACTCGTTCATTCTTCTCATTCTGCCTACTCCTCCTGGATGAGCTCAAAGACACCCATTGTTTTCACCTTTCTTCTCTATACTCGCTCCTTCCTGAGCAGCACAACTGTAAAGCCCACTGCTACTGGAGATCTCCACTCTAATGTCTACCAAGAATTTCAAACATCTATGAACCTAAAATTAATGTATCTCACACACACCCAAGACAACTCTTCCTTTCCCAAGCCCACAATCTGGAATTCATTCAAAATTCCTCCCTTTCACTCACCCATATCCCTTTAACTCACCCACATCCCTCTCACTCAACCACATCCAATCAGTGACACTATCTTGTGGTTTCTACTTCTTCCATGACTCCTGAGTCAGACCTGTATTATCCATCCCACCTTTACTTCCTTAAGTTATGCACTGTCACACCTGGATTACCGTGACAGCTTTTAACAGGAAAGAAAGAAATAAAAATTAACACAAAAACAGTGTTGAGGAAACCCACACAATGCAGGGACTATTTCATGTCCTCAGGGAGGTAAGGGAAGATAGGCAATTATAAATAAAACAGGTTACTTTTTAAAAGGAGAGGAGTAAGGCTTCAGAAGGAAAAATATGATAGCAGAAATTAAAAACTTATAATGGGTAGATGATAAAACTGAGAGCTTCCTCCAGAAAAATGGAGCAAAAGACAAAAGGATGGAAAGCAGAAGGGAAAAGATAAAAAATACAGCCAGTACAGAAGATGTAGAATATGAATAATAGTACTTCTAGAAAATATAGAGAAAAGGAAAAGGTGCGAATATCTACAAGAGAATTTAATACAATCCCCCAGAACTGAGGGATATGAATTTCCAGATTGCAAGGGCTTTTGTAGTACCAAGCACCATGGGTAATGGTAAGAGTAGCTAATGCTATCTGTATTAGTGCTTATTCTCTGCCGGACACTATTCTAGGTGCTTACATATTTAACTCATTTACTTGTCACGACTATCACTATCCACTCATTACAGAAGAAGAAACTAAAGCACAGGGAAGTTCAGTAATGGGTCCAAGATGACACACAGCTTAATAAATGGTAGAACTGGCATTCAATCCCAGGGGGCTCATGATTTACATCCGGTGCTCTAAATCACTGTGCTACATTGGATTATTAGCCTTACACCATGTTTCCTAGCAGAACAATGGGATCTAGGGGAAGATGCCATAGCTTCCAGAGAGAAAAAAGTTCTCAAGGAAAGCATTCAAAGTAAAAATGGCTTTGGAATGCTCACTAACAATACTAAAAACTAAAAAGAAACACACAAATCCTTCGAATTTTAAAGGAACATTATTTACAACCTATGGAGGATATGCTCCAATGTAATAAAAAAATAAACCAAGGAAGAGGATAATCAGGAGGCCCTACACCAGAAGAAACAGGAGGCCCTACACCAAAGAGTGTGAAGTGAATCCCCTAATGATCATGTAGAAATCATAGAAGAGCTACTTATGAGTGCGGAAATAAGCAGTTCAGGTTAGGGCAGGACAAGATTTCTCAGAAGACTTTGCAGGAAGATGAAATGAGAGAATATGTAGGAATGTTTTCAGAAGACTGACAACTGGCAAAGAGTGTGGGGTTGATTTAGTGATAAATACATTGCAAACTAAGCAAATATTAACTCTACTAAATACTGGTGCACATGCATACACACACACACACACACACACACACACACACACACATAATGGCAGGAAAGGAAAAGCAATTATAGTCTACTACATGGCTAGGCTGTGAAGTATTTACACATCATAATGTTAACATAATAATGTCATAATAATGTTAACATTTAATACTGATCTAACCAAAATTATAAATATAATCTATATTTACAGGTAGATAGAAATGGCATATGTATGTGTATTGAGGATGGAGGAAAGAAAAGAAAAAAAAAATTCTATCTTCTTTACTGGGAAGTCAATACCTAAAAAGGAAAATCCAAGAAGTAGCAAAATCAAAGTATTATTTAGAGACATAAAGGTAAATAATGAAACAGGTAAAAGAGATTAAATTAGTTGCCTCCATTGAAGTGGAAATGAGTGGTGAGGATCCACAGAGCTATGGTTTTTAAAAACAAATCTTTATTTTACCTTTTAAAATACATTCATAATGGATTAATATCTTTAAGTTTTTATTTTATTTTATTTTATTTTTAAAAAAAAAATTTTTTTTTCAACGTTTATTTATTTTTGGGACAGAGTGAGACAGAGCATGAACGGGGGAGGGGCAGAGAGAGAGGGAGACACAGAATTGGAAACAGGGTCCAGGCTCCGAGCCATCAGCCCAGAGCCTGACGCGGGGCTCGAACTCACGGACCGCGAGATCGTGACCTGGCTGAAGTCGGACGCTTAACCGTCTGCGCCACCCAGGCGCCCCTAAGTTTTTATTTTAATTACAGTTAGTTAACATACAGTGTTATATTAATTTCAGATATACAATATAGTGATTCAACAATTGCATACAATACCCGGTGCTCATCACAAGTGTACTCCTTAATCTCCATCACCTATTTCACCCATCTCCTTACCCCCTCCCCTCTGGTAACCATCAGTTTGTTCTCCATATTTAAGAAACTGTTTCTAGATTTGTCTCTTTTTTCTCCCTTTGATCATTTGCTTTATTTCTTAAATTCCAAATATGAGTAAAATCATGGTATTTTCTTTCTCTGACTTATTTCGCTTAGCATTATACTCTCTAGCTCCATCAATGTCATTGCAAATGGCAGGACTTCATTCTTTTTCATGGCTCTGAATAATATTCCATTATATATATACACCACATCTTCTTTATCCATTCATTACTCAATGGACATGGGCTACTTCCATAACTTGGCTATTGTAAATAATGCTGCTATAAACATAGGGATACGTATACATAATTGATAGTTTGTTTTTTTTTTTTAAGAGAAACAGACTTAGTTCCATTGAAATTAAGACGTTTTCTCAGGGTACCTGGGTGGTTCAGTCAGTTAAGTGTCCAACTTTGGCTCAGGTCATGATCTCATAGTTCATGGGTTTAAGCCCCACATGCAGGTCTGTGCCATTGGCATGGAGTCTGCTTGGGATTCTCTCTCTCCCTTTCTCTCTGTCCCTCCCCCACTCACTCTCTATCAAAATAAATAAACTTCTACAAAAAAAAAAAAAAGGTTTCTCAAGGATACCTGATGAATCAGGGAAAGAAAGGGAGGGGACTAGAACCCAGATCTATTAACTAAAACCTACAGTTTTCTTTCTACTACTTACTACTACTTAACTTTCTACTCCTATCTACATAAATATGACTTTTAAGAAATTAAAACTTACTAATAGCAACAATGTTAGATACAGTGTGCAGTAGAATTGTGGGCTATAGATTGAAAAATATTTCTAGTTTTCAAAGAAACTATTTGAGGTGTTATCTCCAGTCTAGATGAATTAGTAAGAGTGACCCTAAAAGGGAAAGTACACAAACTACTCCACGGGATGTGAACTACAAAAATAAACATGCAATTAATCCCATTACTGTCCAAAACATAGGTTGATACAGCTGGATGTGATTAATTTTTTAAAGAAAACAATGAATTGATTTTGATTTCTTTTTTTTTTTTTTTTAATTTTTTTTTTCAACGTTTATTTATTTTTGGGACAGAGAGAGACAGAGCATGAACGGGGCAGGGGCAGAGAGAGAGGGAGACACAGAATCGGAAACAGGCTCCAGGCTCTGAGCCATCAGCCCAGAGCCTGACGCGGGGCTCGAACTCACGGACCGCGAGATCGTGACCTGGCTGAAGTCGGACGCTTAACCAACTGCGCCACCCAGGCGCCCCTGATTTTGATTTCTAAAGAAATAGAAATACACTGACTTTTTGCCTAAGACTGGTCTTTGGCTGAGAAATTATAAAGTGGTATTTTCCACATTTTAAGCAGTCAGCAACTCAGCTGCCATATTTATGATAATAACATTGGTGGAAGGGGGAAAAAAACTAGTCAAATGGAAGAAAGAAGCGGAGAGAACAGATGTGGGAAAAAGGGGAGATACGTGGTACAACTGGGTAACATAGTGAAAATCCCACACACTCAGCCAAGAAACTTTGGGAGTGGCTCTGGTTGGCAGCTAAGCATCTTACATGAAGCACATCTGAATTTTGTTAAGCAAATCTAACCAGGAATGTGGCAGTTCCACCTCCTCAAGACTACATTCAGACAGCTTTTTCCAGGCCTGAGGATCACTAAATCAAATGGGTCACTGACACACTTCTAAAAACAAATGACCTTCATGTGAGCCACCATATCATAGGTAGAAGAAAGTATCTGAAGATAATTCAGACAACAGCTTCTAAATATTGTCAAACAGCAACCACCAGATATAATTCCCTAGTTAAGAAGTCAAACTGTGGGCCCACAGGGGTATATTACGGCCCCCTAAGTATGCTTTGATTCATCTAACAAACACTAAATTGTGCTTAAATATAACTTTGATATCCAAGTGTGCCTTAATGGATTCAAATTCTAGGAAAATTGGTTCACACAAGTCCAATATTTTCCAGCTAATCAGTTCCCCATTCTCTAGCCCTTCTGCAAATAAGAGTTTTCCACATAATAAGGTCTTTGCGTTTTCATATCATTTTCACGTGTATGTGTGTTCCATATGTTCCAGGGCATCCCAGAAAGATAATATGAAATTAAGCAGAAAGAAAAAGATTATTTTTTAGGAGAACAAAAGCAAAACATAAGCTCTACTTGCTGCTTTAAAGTACTACGTAAGAGTAGTAAATGATGTTTCACTGAACATTGGAAACTGAAGAGTTACTAAAATGAAATCTAAAATTTTTCTCAGGGCTCCTGGGTGTCTCAGTCAGTTAAGCATCTAGCTCTTGATTTTGGCTCAGGTCTTTATTTCATAGTCATGATAGCCCCATTATTAAGATTCTCTCTACCTCAATTTTTCTTAACCAAAAAAATTTTTAGTCTATCATTTTTAAAAGAATTTTTCTTGGAACACCTGGGTGGCTCAGTGAGTTAAGCATCTGACTCTTGATTTTGGCTCAGGTCATGATCTCACAGTTCATGAAATCAAACCCCACCTCAGGCTCTGCACTGGTAGTCGGAGTCTGCTTGGGGTTCTCTGCCTCCCTCTCTCTCTCTGCCCCTCCCTGTTCTCTCTCTATCTCAAAATAAATTTTAAAGAAATAATTTTTCTTGGGGCGCCTGGCTGGCTCAGTTGGTGGAGCATCTGACTCTTGATCTCAGGGTTGTGAGTTCGAGCCCCATGTTGGATGTAGAGATTACTTAAAAACAAAATCTTTAAAAAGAAAAAAAGAATTTTTCTCTCTCCTTTTTTGGTATCTCAAAGATGCAAATTCAAAATAATGTCTCTGACAAGGAGTTTCCTCTTTCCATAGTGCAATTTTACAAAAATCCAAATGAACAGCATAAATGACTCCATCCCAACTACTTTCATCTACTTACAGTGTAGTTGCTTGTGACACAAAGGAACAAGTACGTGGTAGGGACACAGAAGATCTGTCAGAGCTGTCCATCAACCCACAGGAGCTGGTTCATCCACCAGTGGGTACTCATGTCTGCACCAAACTTCACACTGTGAAAGGCTGGAGACCTTCATTGCCTTTGGATGTGGAAAGCTCAGAGTACAGATTCAATTATGAGATGATGGTCACTTAGGTGGAAGGGGTCTTCTCAAACCAACTTGCCTTTCCCTTAGAGAAAACTGAACCTCCTCAGCTAGGATTTTCTGACATTTCAGGTTTTTCAAGCGCTTCATCTCATACTCCCTTTCAAGTTTGATGGCTGGAAAATAAAATACATGAAGCAATCCAACTGATATTTTTCACCAGTCATAATATGGTTAAAACTGAATAATTTCATCACACAGCAAACCACACATTCTTAAATACTAAACAAGAAGGGCTTCATAGATGAGGGGTATGGGTCTGAATAAGCATATTTAAACATTTATCTGACAGTAAACAAAATGACATAGATAAAATTTGCTATTTATTAAAGTAGTTCTTACAGAACTTACATTCTGCAGAAGGGAGCAGAGCACTCTTAGTGGTTTTATTTTTTTGGAGGTAAAAAGGACTACCAAATGTAATTTCTTCCAAGAAAGGCAATTTAATGTTGGCTAGGTTCATGTGCCAGGTCTTTGTAAGCAGTGCAAGATCCCAAGGTTCCTGTCTGGGGCAAAAATTCATTAATTCATTCAATAAATATGTATTGAGCATCTAATGTGGAATATACAGAAGATATCTTAATTCTCAATTCCATTTTCCACTAGACATTTTGGTTTAAGATGGGAATTCAGGATTTTCCAGAGTTGTAAATCTAGCCAGGAGAAGGAGCCTTATATTAATGTATAGTATGTAATGTATATATACTAATGTAGAGATATATTGCAAAATTACCATAAATTATAATGACAGGAACTTTTGTTAAAAACAGCCTCCCTGCAGTCAAGCCAATCTTTCTATGTCTTTTAAGAGGATGTGGTTAAGAACTGTAAGCTCTAAGTCTTTTATGGCTGATCACAAATATGGTCACATTAGGGAAAGAAAAAAAGAGAATAATCATTCATTGAGCAGGTACTTGGCATACACTAAGGCTTCGAATGTGTGATCTTATTTTAATCTTTACAACCCCCCTGTGGATAGACAAGGAAACAGACTCAGAAGTTAATTAAGAACCAGAGCTGGTACTTAGCCCAGCTGGAGTTATTCAGAAGCACTAGTAGCAAGAGAATCCTCGGAAAACTGGAGGAGATGAAATTCCAAACTGTAATATTTAAAAATAATCACCATGAACTTCAAATGAATTGTTTTATATATTCTAATTTGGAAATGCTAAATGACAACTACATGTTTCTCATCTCACTGAGTCAATATGAGTTTCCTATGTCCTAGGAAAGGTGAAAGACCTGCTTTGGTACAAGTAGAGGAAGTAAGGGTGTAATGCACAAGTGTCTAGTTGTTTTCCTCCTCCAGCTTCCTTGCTACTTTATCATCTAACTTTAAGGAGCAACTTGAAGTCTACAATTATTATAAATGCATTTGAATAAGGGCACAAAGATGTATTTATAAGAATGTTCACTGAAGCACTGTTTGTCAAAAACAAAACAAACAAACTCACAAAATAGCCTTAATGTCGATCAAGAAGAGCCTGGTTAAACAAACTGTGGTACACATGTTGATGAAAGAATGAGGTTTATCCTTATATGTCGACTTGGAAACATGAGCAATAACACAGCTAATTTTATCTAGCACTTACTATCTGCTGGGCACTGCACTGTTTCAATCAGTTTACGCATATGAACACATTTAATTGACACAGTAACTCTATGGAGTAGGCAGGTACTATTATTAAACTCATTTTGCAGATAAGGAAAAAAGAATAGAACAACTTGTTCAAGGTCACAGGGCTGTTGGCCGTGGGTTTGGGATTTGAACCCAGAAAGTCAGACTCTAGAAACTGTGTTCATAACCATTAGGCTACACAAGATATAGTGGGGGCCAGGGCAAAGTTCAACATAATCACACATGTAAAAACACATACGTGTGTATGTGTATATATGTGTGTATCTTGTATAGCAGACGGAAATTCTAGAAAAATATAAAACATTTTACCTCTGAGTAGGACCGAGATAGCCTTTTTATTTTCTTTTCAAATGTTTCTATACTGTTTGAAATTTTTGTGTGTATTTTCTACAACTCTCTAAAAATATTTAACCAAAAAATCAGTGAGGAGTTGTCTTAGCAAATTAATTCCAAAGAGTGTCGTTGCCATTCTTTTCCTCTTAATTTAGCTGTTCTTATAAATAATATGGTATCAAACACTTTCTTGTAAGTATGATAGAGAAGGCACTGGTGCTGCAGAGACTATTCATGATATAAAATTCTACATAATCAAAACTGCAGAATAAATGCTTTAAGTTATTCTCCAGACATAGGATTATCTTTATTACAAAAATTACATTTATAATAATGTTGACTACCATGGTACTTGCCAATAGTTCAATGTCTAAACACATACGGAAATGACAAAACTAAATAAAATGCAATGGTGAATTTGCTCTGGTTTTAGAAACCCAAAGGGTGTCTCCACTTACTTCTCAGAATATTGTTTAAAAAGAAAAATTCAACTGACCCATAATGGCAAGTATGTCATAGACTGTGGCAGAGAGGTTAAAAAAACAAGTGCAAAAATTAAAAATAAACAAAAAAACAAGGTCGCAATAGACACCACACAGTGAAACTACCATGTGGTAGTAGCAGTCCATGTTCATTATGGGTTTACTGTATGTCAAGCAATATGCAAGTATGTAACACACATTATTTGTATTCCACATCATACAGACGGGTAGTGATAAGTTCATTTTACACACGTGGAGACCAAGATAGAGAAAAGTAATTTACTCAAGTTGGCATGGGGAGCCAGGGCAGGACCAGGCTTCGAACTCAGGTCTTCTGTTTGTTTGTTTTTTTAATGTTTATTTATTTTGAAAGAGAGAGACACACAGAGGGCGAGCAGGGGAGGGGCAGAAAGAGAGGAAGACACAGAATCCGAAGCAGGCTCCAGGCTCTGAGCTAACAGCACAGAGCTGGATGCAGGGCTCAAACCCACAAACCATTGAGATCATGACCTGAGCTGAAGTCGGACGCTGAACCAACTGAGCCACCCAGTGCCCCATTTTTTTAAATAAACATGTAGATTTATTTTAAATCAGTTCAGTGCATGATACAAATTGGTTTTGCAGTTTAAAAATATGGAAGCTTCACGAATTTACATGTCATTCCTGTGCAGGGGCCATGCTAATCTTCTCTGTTTTGTTCCAATTTTAGTACCTGTGCTGCAGAAGCAAGCACATGGCTCAGATCTTTCTGATTGCAAAACCCATGTTGTCCATACCAAACATCACCTGCAAAAACGTACAGGATGCAAAACTGACTCTTTGTACCAGCCAATCAAGTGCTAAGTTAAGATATACCTGACACCAAGACACTTTCAGGTAGATTTATGCTATCTACAGAGATATTTTAAGGTAGTTGACAGTAGTCGAAAATGTTGCTTTGGAGTACAAAGATGAGCTTCTATCCCTGTCACTTCTTTACTACATGACTGTATGACTTTGATCAAATCACTTCTCCAAACCTGTTTGTGTTGTTTTGTTATAACTGCCAAGTACGATAATTTATAAATTCTTAATAAACGCATTTACCTTTAAAAAAAAATCACTATTCAGATCACTGAAAATACCTCACATGGTCCAGTAGCTCATCAGGGTTTCCGGTACTCTTATTTTTCCAAGGACACTCCCCATCCCCAGTCAAGGCTCACAGTGATGAAAATACTTACACTTTAAAACAACCGCCCCGCAATATGGTTTTCACTGTGTTCTTTCTTGGCAAGCCATAAGCCATGGTGAATTATCACAGTCCAATTTCCTCACATAGATGCCTGATGTTATGACTGCAGTGTGTTCACTCTGCCTGAAATGATTGCAATACACAGAATTAGTGGCTTTCACTTTAATATTTTTTAATACCCAAATAATAAAAAGATTTAGAAAAAGCATTTCTGGATGTCAGGAAGTTCCTAATAAATGTTCCTTGAAGCTTAACTCCTAATGTACAACTGTGTTCTCTTTTATTTGTCGTGAACTCATTTTATCATTTCTGGCCACGTATGGAGAAAATGCAAAGTTAACATCGGTATTCCGTCACTGCCCAAGCCTGCAAAACTGGCTCAAACACCTCATCACCCAAACGTGTCTGACTTTGGCAATATTGAAAGACAAATGGCTCTGCGGGTACACGAACTTCCCGTTCCCCGCCCAAGCCCCCTTCCCAGGTTTTCCCTTTTTCAAAAGCCTGAGCTAACCAACGACCCCCTGTAAGTGCCCCTCCCACTGCGTCCCGCCAGGGTGCGCAGTTCCGCGCAGGAACCAGCTCTCGGGAGCGGGTGGAGCCTCGGCGGTCCGCGGAGCCCGGGGCAGAGGGACGGACAGGCGCACGGGCTGGGAGGCCGGGCCCTCCCGCCGCCTCTTCCCACGTCGGCGCCCAGCTCTCCTCCCACCCTCACACAATGCGCGGCGGGCGCACCGGGTCGGCCGGGGCCTCGGGGGCCGGAAGGGGTAGTGGTCGCCGGAGCCCGATTACCGGCGCTCGCGGGTCTCGGGGATTGCGTTCCCCCGCGGACGGAGGGCGGAGCGCGCGTCCAACTAGGCGCTCATGGCCGCGCGCACCAGCGGGCCCGCGCTGCGGGCACACGCCTCCTTCCCGCTGGCGCCCGAGCTACGGGCCGCGCCCCAGGCCGGGACGCCTCGCGTCACGCCCGGCCTCAATAAAGGGCTTTGTGGTGACGGCCCCGCCCTCCAGGGGCCTTGGGAACCAGGTCCCTGATGGGGTCCCGCGGGGGCCTTCGGGATAGGCAAGCGAGACAAGCACACACTTGACGGAACAAAACTTAGGAGCCAAGGAGTTGTAAGCGAGGTCTTTCTCTGAAAACGACATTTAAATGTCAGGAGGTTGTGTTGAAGTGACCTGGGAACTTCGTTTTGGGGCCCATCTGGGGGCACAATTTAAAGAAACGTGCTCAGCTTTGACTTGTTCTCTTTGAGCGATGCTCACTGGTGACGCCTGAGGAGCGGAAGCGCAATTGTTACAGTTCGCGCGCCCTAGTGGGTCAAGGCAGCTGTAAACGCTCAAGCCCCAAGCCCAAATGTGGTGTTATGTGTTCGTCGTGGTAAGGGCAAGACAGAATGGAAAAAGTGGGCTGATGGACCAGTTTTTGAAGTCATTACACTGTGGTGATTCAGGAGGAATCTATATTTTAATATGCCAATGGTCATCACTTAAACATCAAATGAAAATGTCTTACCTGTCCATTTTGCAGGAGGGTCTTGGAGTCAGAACTGGTTTGGAATTCTAGTTCTGCCAGTTGACAACTTTAAGGTCTTGCCTATGTAAATTCTCTAATCCTCAATTTCTCCGTCTATAAAACAAGTATAATACTCTAGGACTTGCAAGGTCATTGTGAGGATTAAAGATCTGTCTGTAAATTCCCTGCCACATGGTAAGTGCCTAATTGTCTAATTTTGAGCCTAGTAACACTTTATGACATAAGCAAGGGATACTTACTCCAATTGTAGAGAGGAAGAATGAACTAAGAGAGGTGACATAGCTCTCGAGTTACAGGCCCAACAGTACCGGGACAGGCTATCTCTGTTACTAGCTCCTGCCTAATTAGAATAGTGGTAGGCTTGAACCAGCTTTTTGCCTTCTTGAAACTGGAAAGTGAGGACTCCTTTGCTCTTTAACATTTCTGGGAAAGGAACCCCAATGGGTGAGAGTGAGTGTTAGTATGTAACACGAAGAATGGTGAATCCATTAATGGACTATGAAATCAATGTAGTAGATTTTTACCTGGATTTTTTCAAATGAGTTAACATAGAATGGGGTGGAGTGTGGGGAATGAGAGTACATTATGCAAGTAAGTCTAGGTATTGTTTTGTGGAACTTATATTTTTGTTATCCATATGTACTCTTTCTCATGCTTTTGTGTGTGTGCAGTTTCAGTGTAAATTGTAGTTCTCACAGTGGGTCTAAAAAGTTCGAAAGCCACTAACATTTCATTTTAGAGATGAAAGAGTGGAGACCAAGTTGTTAACTGAAATCACATTTAGATGGAGCAGAAATAGGCCACTTTAGAATTGAAGTGACACGTGGAGCTATGGCCTGTTCTCTTTTTAATAGAAGAAATCAATAATCCAGAGAGATGTTTCCAGGGCCCCACTGAAAAAGGCTAGACAGCCTGTGATTTCTCCATGTGGGAACTTCATTTCCTGTATTCGTTTCCTTCATAATTCCTGAGAATTATGTTTAGTTATTTTCTAAGTGATTTACTTTGAACAAATATGGTGGAAGTTACAGAATATGACTTTTTTATTTAAATTTTTTTAATGTTTATTTATTTTTGAGAGAGAGAGCACAAGCGATGAAGGGGCAGAGAGAGAGAGGGAGACAGAGAATCCGAAGCCGGCTCCAGGCTCTGAGATGTCAGCACAGAGCCCGGTGCAGGGCTCGAACCCACAAGTTGTGAGATCATGACCTGAGCCCAAGTCGGATGCTTAACCAACTGAGCCACCAGGTGCACCCAGAATATGACTTCTGAGACCAGGTCACAAAAGACCTCTGTGGTCTCTCTTGGATCACTAACCCTAGAAGAGATCAGAAACATGTGAGGGAACACTCAAGCCACCTTGTGGAGAAAGTCAGATGCAAAGGAATCAAGGCCTCTAGCCAACAACTGGTGAGGTTCTGAGGCCTCATTCCACCAACCATGTGAGTGAGCCAGCTTGGAAGCACATCCTCCAAAGCTCCATCAAGCCTTCAGATGACTGCAGCCTCAGCTGATGTCTCACTAAAGCTTCACGGGAGACCCTGGGTCAGAACCATCTAGCTAGCTAGTCCAGGATTCCTGGCCCTCAGAAAATATAAGATAATAAATGCTTATCATTTTAAGCCATCAGACTTTGGAGTATTTGTTATGGAGCAACAGATACCTAATATAACACTAAGTGTCTTATTGGAGAAGGAATATTTTACACAGAGGAAAATAGCCATATTTTTCTAGTTGAGATTAATAGTTTGATAAAAAATGAGCAGTAAAGGGGCACCTAATGGCTAAGTTGGTTGAACATCCAGCTCTTGGTTTGGGATCAGGTTGTGATCCCAGGGTTGTGGGATCAAGCCCCACTATTGGCTCTGTGCTGAGCAAGTCCCTTCTTGGGATTCTCTCTCTCTCTCTCTCTCTCTCTCTCTCTCTCTCTCTCTCCTACTCTCCCTTGCTCATGCTCTCTCTCTCTCTCTCTAAAATAAAAAATAAAAATAAAAAATAAATGAACAATAAAACATTATGCTTTTACAGGTTCTTTCTGGGCAGCTGATTTTGCTAAATCTCATCTAGGACCAGTTGAAAGCTTTAGAAACTGTCAACACAGAAAATATGGTAAGTACCAGTCTCCCATGTCTCTATTTTTTTTAATTTCATTTATTTATTTTGAGAGAGAGAGTGGGTGTGGGGAAGGTATCAGGGAGAGAGGGAAAGAGAGAATCCCAAGTACACTCCCCACTGTCAGTGCAGAGTCCAGTGCAGGGCTCCATCTCATGAACTATGAGATCATGACCTGAGTCGAAATCAAGAGCCAGACACTAAACCAACTGAGCCACCCAGGCACCTCTCCCACGTATATTTAAAAACAAAAATAACACTAAATCACCCTATCCCCATAATAACAATTTTAGTATTTTCTTTTGAAATATCAAATCACCTCTAAACATTACTGACTCCCATAAACATTTCTGTCTCCCACCCGCCTACTCTCTCTCTCTCCTGTCCTTCTCCTTTCCTTTCTTTTCTCTATGATCTCTCTCCCACTGCTTTTCCACTGCCCTGCACACATCTGCCTATTGGGTAAGCCTTCACTGATCTCTATTCCAGAAAGTTGGCAGGTTTCATTTGAATTGGTTAAGAGAACATTGCTGCCACCTACCGTTAAAACTAAGGCACGAAGATGAATACAAAGAGACCTGATAATAATAACAGGTAACAAAAAAACAATACTAGTGTGATGTTTACTACACTTTGGGCACTGTTCATGGTACTTCATATACATTGATTCATTTAATCATCACAAGAAGAGATGCTATTATCAATTTAGTGGTGTGAGTTTAGGGATATTAGGGAAGTAAAAACTGAGGTACCTCACGTGTGAATAACTTTTCCAAGGTCACAGGACTCAAGACTATGCAATTCTGATATTTTTCTTCCTATCATACTGTACATTCTCCCCGGATTGTAATTAAGACAATGTTTTAGGTATATACTTGTAAATATTTTTGTACTTCCCTGTTTAAATACTCTGTTAATTTCTCATCATATATATACTAACAGAATATTCTTGGACACCTCCTCCATGCCAGCAGTCATTCTTCTCCATGTCATCTGAGCCTCGCAGTTTAGTGGAGAAAAGGGTAATAGTTTTCCTAGAACAGTTAAGGGGAAAAAAAGGTTTATAGGGCTACTAAATGACTTGCTTACAATTACACAACTAGTAAATTACAGAACCTAATTTAACCCAGGTCAGTTTCACTCTTGACCTACCTTCTCTGAGTTCTCTGACTTAACTATATATTCCTCAGTCCATGAAATTTCCATTGCATCCTTACCATAACATTGACTACCCACCCATTTTATTTGACAGAGTAGGCTTCTGTACCTTAAACACATTAGTGCCTGACCAGAACAGAAAATAATAGCCACAGCTAGAGTCCAGACTCCCCTGCCCTCTTTAGAGGTATAAGTTAAAATTTCCTAGGTGCTCAGTTGATGAACTCCTGTTGTTTAGGAGGCAAAGCAGGTAAGAATGTATTACCCTAATCCAAGACTATAGTATGTGATTTACAGCCTAGGATTCTCCCCAGGACAAAATCTGGAGCAGTAGGGATCCCTGGCTGCCTCTCAGGCAGGCACTGTGAACCTGCATCTGTCACGGAGCAGTACATATCAGGGTGGCTATCCCGTGACAACTACATTTGAATTCCTCCACCGTGCAAGCATAAAGCATTAGTTGTAAGAATAGGAAGAAAGGCGTTTCTTTACACATCTTAATATATGAGGGCTTTGGAGTGTTACAATGTCACCCTGTAAAGTACTAGTTTCAACCATGCTATTTTACAATAAGTCACTTTAAGAATAATTAGGAAAGTAGGAGCAATTAGGAAATTAAGAAGAGGTTCTTTTTGTGGTGCCTCAGAGGCGGTAGGCTGCTTCAGGATGAAGCCGAACATCTCTTTCCCAGCTACTGGCTGCCAGAAACTCATTGACGTGGATGATAAATGCAAACTTCAAAGGGAATGGCCATAGAAGCTGCTGATGCTCTTGGTGAAGAGTGGAAGGGTTACATGGTCCGAACCAGTGGTGGCAATGACACACAGGGCTTCCCCATGAAGCAGGGCATCTTGACCCATGGCCGTGTCCGCCTGCTGCTGAGTAAGGGGCATTCCTACTACCGACAAAGGAAGACTGGGGAAAGAAAGTGCAAATTTGATCGGGGTTGCATTGTGGACGCCAATCTCAGTGTTCTCAACTTGGTTATTGTGAAAAAAGGGGAGAAGGATACTCCTGGACTCGCTAGTATTAGTGTGCCTCGTCACCTGGGGCCCAAAAGAGCTAGCAGAATCCGCAAACTTTTCAGTCTCTCTAAAGAAGATGATGGCCACTC